ACCAAGAGAATTGTAGTATTTGGTGCGAAGGGCTGGTAACTTGTATCCCCAAACAGTTTTTAAGCTGTAAAGCCAGATTTGTGAACTAAAACCTGGAACCAGCAAGAATACCAACATTAGTGTTCCACATCAGAGTGGAAGATCCGAGTCTAAGAGCACAGGAGTCAGAGGCAGGTAGAACATGGAGCCCAAGTTGAGTCAGTCAGGAATTGGAGAAACCTATCCACTCATGACCCCACTCTGTGCCCCATGGTACCCTTTTCATGTCTCTATCATGGCTCTACTACACAGTGTTGAAATTATAGTTTTGAGCTTATGTGTCTTATTCAACTGTGAGACTTATGAAGGCAGACTTAGTGTCAAGAATTCATTCTTGAATCTCCACTCTGTTCATAGCAAGAATACAATGTGTCGTTAAAATGAATTATTGAAACCTAAATCAAGACAAGAGAGTGAGTTTATAAGTGGGACTCTTTGGTTTCTATAAGGGACATGAACTAGCAAAAAGCAAGAAAAGGGAATTTGGTGTAAGTATATAACGTATCTCATGAAACAACCCTGGGCGTTAGGTAGGAACTGGACCAAGAAGCTATATAGCCCACCAGGACCTCCACCTCTGTCTCACTTAACGTATTTGCTTCAGTAATTTCTTTCTGAAAGCTAGTGTTCTCTGCTTCCCTGGTCTTCAGGCTTTATGTTTTGCAGTTCTAATCTCCCACTGACTAACGTACTGTCCATTCTAATTCAAAATTTCTGGGATACAGTGACCAGGAATGACTGGCTCAGCTTGGGCCTAGTGTCCAAACCAGATTCAGTCCCTGCTTGCCAAGGAACAGGCATATGGGAGAAATCTACCCACTCCTATGGATTAGAGAGGAGGTCAGTTACCAGTTGGGCAGAATTAGACAAGCAGTCAGGAAAAGAGAAATTGACAATGTGTCAGAGAATTCGACATTGAAGTATATATGGACTATCTCAAACAGGAAACATTTTACATGCTTTCCCTTGGAGTAGAAGCCAACGTTGGCATTGCAGGGGAAGGCCAGTGGGATCTGTTCTGTTGCAATAAGACTACACAGAGTGTGGATCCCAGGTAGGGCATCTTCTTAGCCTCTCCATGCCTTGTTTTATTTTCATATGTAAAGTGAGGCTAGTAATGGTTTCCAATCTATCTACATAATAAGGTTTTTGTATCAAAGTAAGCAAAATAATGCATATGAATGCTGTACACTTAGCATTTAATGCTAAAAACATGTTAAATATTATTGTTATTGTTGCTATAGTAACATTATAACTGCCAGGTCCTGCAGTTCTTCTTTGTGGAGTTCATCACTTGTCATGATATAAATTCTGTGACTTCCACATATTTATCTTAAGACTTGACGCAAGACTCCAGTTTAACTCTGGTTGAATGCTAGACTTACAATCAGATATCACTTCAAAATCAATCTCATGCTCTTTTTCTTATAACAATTTTACAATTTATTCCATCTACTAATGTTCTCAAACTGTTTCAGTAGCATCAATCTCTCCTTAAGCCTGGGCAAAAGACTAAAAGTGATTAAGAATTGGTCACTTGATCTGAAGCCATCTTTGACTTCTCTCTTTTACACCCCACGTCATTCATCAAGTTTTATTTATTTTTTTCATGTAATTACATTGACTAATAATGAACATTCACTGGGGGTTTACTATGTGCCAGATCCTGCTTTAAGCACTTTTTTTTTTTAATTTACATCCAAGTTACTTAACATATGGTGCAACAATGCTTTCAGGAGTAGATTTCTTAATGCCCCTTACCCATTTAGCCCATCTCTCCTCCCACAACCCCTCCAGCAATCTTCTGTTTGTTCTTTGTATTTAAGAGTCTCTTATATTTTGTCCCCCTCCCTGTTTTTATATTCTTTTTGCTTCCTTTCCCTTATGTTCATCTGTTTTGTATCTTAAAGTCCTATTGTGGGTGAAGTCATATATTTGTCTTTCTCTGACTAATTTTGCTTAGCATAATACCCTCCAGTTCCATCCACATAGTTGCAAATGACAAGATTTCATTCTTTTTGATTGCTGAGCAGTACTCCATTGTATATATATACCACATCTTCTTTATCCACTCATCTATTGATGGACATTTGGGATCTTTCCATACTTTGGCTATTGTTGATAGTGCTGCTATAAACATTGGGGTGCATGTGCTCCTTCGAAACAGCATATCTGTATCCCTTGGATAAATACTTATTAGTGCAATTGCTGAGTTGTAGGGTAGTTCTATTTTTAATTTTTTGAGGAAACTCCATACTGTTTTCCAGTATGTAGATGCACCAGTTTGCATTCCCACCAGCAGTGCAAAAGAGATCCTCTTTCTCCACAACCTCACCAACATCTGTTGTTACCTGAGTTGTTCATGTTAGCCATTCTGACAGGTGTAAAGTGGTATCTCATTGTGGTTTTGATTTGTATGTCCCTGATGATGAATGATGTTGAGCATTTTTTCATATGTCAGTTGGCCATCTGGATGTCTGCTTTGGAGAATGTCTATTCATGTCTTTTGCCCATTTCTTCACTGGATTATTTGTTTTTTGGGTGTTGAGTTTGATAAGTTCTTTGTGGATTTTGGATACGGACCCTTTATCTGATATGTCGTTTGCAAATACCTTCTCCCATTCCGTCAGTTGCCTTTTAGTTTTGCTGATTGTTTCCTTCGCTGTGCAGAAACTTTTTATTTTGATGATGTCCCAATAGTTCATTTTCGCTTTTGTTTCCCTTGCCTTTGGAGACTTGTTGAGTAAGAAGTTGCTCTGGCCAATGTCAAAGAGGTTTTTGCCTGCTTTCTCCTCAAGGATTTTGATGATTTCCTGTCTTACATTTAGGTCTTTCATCCATTTTGAGTTTATTTTTGTGTATGGTGTAAGAAAGTGGTTCAGGTTCACTTGTCTGCCTGTCGCTGTCCAGTTTTCCCAGCACCACTTGCTGAAGAGACTGTCTTTATTCCGTTGGATATTTTTTCCTGCTTTGTCAAAGATTAGTCATATGTTTGTGGGTCCATTTATGGGTTCTCCATTCTGTTCCATTGATCTGAGTGTCTGTTCTTGTGCCATTGCCATACTGTCTTGATGATTACAGCTTTGTAATACAGCTTGAAGTCCAGGATTGTGATGCCTCCTGCTTTGGTTCTCTTTTTCAAGATTGCTTTGGCTATTCGGGGTCTTTTCTGGTTTCATACAAATTTTAGGATTGTTTGTTCTAGCTCTGTGAAGAATGCCAGTGTTATTTTGAAAGGTATATCAAAAGCATGGAATATTTTCCCTTTGTTTTTGTGTCTTCTTCAATTTCTTTCATAAGCTTTCTATAGTTTTCAGCGTATAGGTTTTTCACCTCTTTGGTTTCCCTGCTTGTGCACACATTCTCTCTCTCCCTCTCCCTCTCTCTCTTAAAAAAAAAGAAACAAAAAAACCCCAAAGACAAAATCTTCTATCCCAGATTTTTAGGCTTTCTATAGTCTGATCCTATGGTATCTATTCAGTTTTTTCCCCCCCTCCTCCTATCCCATTATTTATTATTCCAATCAGGCTGATCTTTTCACCATCCCCACAAACATGCTAATCATATCTACCCTAGGTGACTTCATTCATTGCCACAGGTCTAAGCTTCACCTGTCTAACTTAAAATATTGTGGCTCTAATCTCAACTGAAAGTGACATTTCCTTCCCTGGATCTCATAACACTTTCTTTGTACCCCTCTTATGATATAATGTTCTGCCTTGTATTATAACAATTTTGGTACTTTTCTTATTTCTCTCCCTGCTCATCAGTTAGCTTGCTGAAGACAGAGACCGTTTCACTAAATCTTGTATCCCCTGCAGTGTCTCTTTCAATGCAGAACACGTAACATGTGATCAATAAATAGCTACTGAATTTAACAGAATTCTAATTTCATTCACACAAAATGTTTTTCTTTGCCTTTTGTTTTATTCTAATCTTTCACAAATGTCTCATTTTCTTGAATGAAACCCTTGTGACTCTTCTAGTCTTTGATGAAACCTACTTTCTTAGAAGTCTTATAACACTTAAGGCTGATACCACATAATATGGTTCTTTATTAATTGTTTTATATGGTATGTTCAGTGTTCATGTGTTACAACACAGGGCCTGGTAAATAAAGATTCTTAAGGACTTTTGTTGAATAAATCAATGCATTGATCTTGTCCCACCAATTGTAAGGTCTCTGAGATAGGGACCATGCCTTAAATATCTTCTGTGCCCTTGGATCTCTCAGCATATAATAGGTGCTTTATGAATATTCACTGACTGACTGGCTCTTGGATTTCTGTTGCATGTTTGTCTTTACATTCCTGTTGTTTTGTCCTCAGCAGATGATTCCACTAAAGAGGTCTCTGAGTCCTCAGACCCCATTTCCCCATTTACAGGCAGAGTCAGGTTGCTGACACATGCGTTTGGTGGTGGTGGTGGTTGTTGTTGTTGTTTTGCCATTCTGTTTAGGAATGTTGTCTTTAATTCCAGGACTAAGCCTTCTCAAAGGACAAATCCCTAGAGGAAGCGGGGGGGGGGGGATTGCAAAATACAGATCCCTCGCCAGAATGATTTTACAGAACTTGCTCCTGGGTCTGCTTACACAGTACATGCCAGGGGAAAAAAAACATTCTGTGTGTACCTTGTACGGTTTAAAAATGAGGGTAATATATCACAATCATGATGCAACAATGCATCATGATGTGGCCTAAGATGTATAAAATAACTTCCATCCTAGGGCACCTGGTGACTCAGTTGGTAGGATCTTAAAATATCAATTAAAAATAATGTTTATATAGTATGATAGTGACTTGTATATACCATATAGCCAATGTGGCAGAGACCAACAATATTTCAACCTCTTGAAGGAAAGCCTAATCTACTGAGAGAAAGGGGAGAACTAGATAAGTAAGCATCTCTATTATATTTTGCACCTCACAAGTATGCAATACTTGATGATGGCAGATGGTAGAATGGTTTTGCAGACCAGAAGAGCTCCAAGTTTTGCTACCCTGGATGCAATCTATAATGTTATTATCCAGAACAAAAGGAGGTATGTGTACAGTATGCACAGAATATGGTCCTTAACAACTCTTCCTGGTCTTGCTTCTAGCTGGAGAGAGGGAAAAGGATTGGCAGATGTAACCAAGGCAAAACTGATGTTTCCTTGGACCAAAGATTGAATACAGCATTACACTGGGCAGTAGCCAAGTTGTAGATTTTTCTTTAATATTGTATATGTATTTATTTGCCATTTCATTGGCATATATGCTTAAAAACTTCTTTGTTTTAGATGCAGGTGATCCAAAGACATTTGATCTGAATTTCAAAGGGCCTGTTGCCAAAAGGTAAGCAATTCTTTTCTTGGAAATATATTTCTTGACAAACACAGAAAGCTTATCTTTGGTACCATTTTCTGGTCAATGGAGAAATATGTCTGTTATGAAGGGGAAATGACTTATTTTTTTTGCCTAAATGTCACGTTCTTTATGTAGAGAAAATACAGAGAACAAATCTTTCCATGAGTCATGGATATCCTGTCCTATTCAGCAAATGAACTGCCTTAAATTATTGGACCAGAGAGTGTGTTTTTCAAAAAGAAAAGCCTAAAAATGCTTTATAAGATTTAACCACTTTATAGAGAAGCAAACACATTTGATAGTTGTTTGATGCACCTGTTTACTGTGTGATTCACCGTTGTAAATGCAAAGTTGCTATGCCAACTTCTTCCACACCAGGTATTTGTGCTACGCAGCTTCCCAAAGCAGACAGCTTTCTTGGAGATAACTATTCACCAAGGCATCATGTAAGCTGTAGGATATTTTAGACTGCTCTAGGGAAATATGTACTTGTCTCAACTGGTGCTTCTTTCTCAAAGTTGTATGGCATTTAAAAACTATCCAGTAATTCACAGGCCTCTTTTATTATTACTTTTACCCTCTATTCCCAGGCTTCCTGCTAATCAAAACAGGGGTTTACAGGGTGGAATAGGTAAGAATGAGGAGAAAATTATGCTGTTGGCAGCTGGGTTTTGCTTAGCTTTCACCTTGATTTCTGGCAGTTGTATGTCATAACAGACTGTTAGGTGAAATAGCATGAATAGCACGATCAGCATGCTTGTTGTTTGAGCTGCCAACCATCAGCATGTACGTTAGCGTTTACTGTTACGTGCCTATAGTATTCCGGCTTTAAACAAATGTGTATTCAGTTTATTCTAATTCTGTAAAAAGCCAGGTCATTTGTTTGGGGTTAACTTATTTGAGGGTGCACCAATTCCTTCTTTAGAGTAAGTCTGAAATCTCTTGTTCTTTCCATGGTAACACCATGAATACATTCTGTTGTCCAGTATACAAACAGCCTCATTCAGTATGTAGGTTACTTTTACTGCACTTACATTCATTTTCCAATAACTAATTTGTGCTAATTGAACCTAGCCTATTGGCCTTAAGGGACCACTAGATATAATCCAGATTCAATAGTAGTAGTAGTAGAAGTAGAAGTAGTAGTAGTATATGGTAGTAATAATGAGGATTATAATATAAATTGCTGTCACATTTGGACAGACAAAATACAGATTATAGGTATGCCTTTTCTTCCTTTGTTTTCCATAACATTTATTTATTTTTTTTAAATCTTTTAAAAAATGCATTTATTAATTTACATCCAAGTTAGTTAGCATATGGTGCAACAATGATTTCAGGAGTAGATTTCTTAATGCCCCTTACCCACTTAGAGCCCATCCCCCCTTCCACCACCCCTCCAGCAACCCTCTGTTTGTTCTCTATATTTATGAGTCTCTTCTGTTTTGTCCCCCTCCCTGTTTTTATATTCTTTTTGCTCCCCTTCCCTTATGTTCATCTGTTTTGCATCTTAAAGTCCTCATGTGAGTGACGTCATATGATATTTGTCTTTCTCTGAGTGACTAATTTTGCTTAGCATAATACCCTCCAGTTCCATCCACGTAGGTGTGCCTTTTCTAGCCATAGAGAAGAAAGCGGAATTAAGCCTGGCTGGCTTTAGGTGTGGGGAAGGAGTTGAGATCTGTCTTCATTTATTTAGAATTTAATGATGGAACCAGGTAGTCCAGGTAAAGTCCAAAAAACTGTGATAACCACTGTGAGGAAAGTAATTTATTTTTACTGAGGGCCTTTTGTGATGCCCCAGCACCACAAGGCCTTCAAAGGTGAAATGGTCATTATGTGGGCATACTTCCCCCACTCTTCAATCCAAGAACAGGGGAAAGTGTAAAACCACAGGAGCTTAGTGACAGAAAGACACAGCTGACCCATTTGTAACTTTTCGGGCTGCAGGATTTTATAATGCCCTTCCTGGAAAAACAATTAGAGTGTTTAAAGAGCAAATGAGAAATCCCAAATTCTTCACATTACCTCTGGCAACAGAATGAGCTTTAATAACCTCTTTGCTTACAGATATCACTTCCCTTCTGAAAGATCCAAAGTATTATCAGAGATCCAGGACGATTCTTACACCATTCTCTGCTTGTCAGTCAGCCATCTTCTATACACCTCTCTCAGTTCACAAGAACATCATTTTGTCCCCTTTATTCAACAGAATTTTTTTAAAGGTTGTTTTGCATTGGGTTGAGATTGTGAGCTTGGTAAAAATGAGTGTCTAGCACCCTTAGCAGTACATTAGGCAATGAAAATGAATGCACATAGAAAACAAAGACATTGGGGCGCCTGGGTGGCGCAGTCGGTTAAGCGTCCGACTTCAGCCAGGTCACGATCTCGCGGTCCGGGAGTTCGAGCCCCGCGTCGGGCTCTGGGCTGATGGCTCAGAGCCTGGAGCCTGTTTCCGATTCTGTGTCTCCCTCTCTCTCTGCCCCTCCCCCGTTCACGCTCTGCCTCTCTCTGTCGCAAAAATAAATAAATGTTGAAAAAAAAAATTTTTAAAAAAAAACAAAAAAAAAGAAAACAAAGACATAAGGCTCTTTTATAAGATGCTGCATGAGAAATTCCTCTTGTAATTTAGAACAAATAAATTTTTAATTTAATGGCAAATTAGTATACTTTCTTCCATTATATAAAGAGAACTGTGTAATCCAGCATATTTTTCTTTTGTACTGAATTGTAGAAGGCCCACTGATAAATTCAATTTCAATGCCAGCAACTACATTAGCCTTTGAGTCAAGAATTTCTTTTTGGGAATTTGAATTTCTATTTCTACTTTAATAACTCTCTTGCACCCAGGTGTTTTAAATCATTTCATTTAAGTTTTTTTTTTTTTCTTGGAAAGAGGCAGCATATAGGTAGACAGGTAAATAGAAATAAAAGGCCTACATGTTCCATAATTACCTTTTTCCTCTATACACAAAATAGATGAAGGACATATGACTCATACTAATCAAATTGGTAGGTTTCACAATGCTTAAAATAACTATTATTATAAATGGTAGAAAATCTATCTGAAATGTAATAAGATGCATTTATTTCTACCTGAAGCATTGGGCGGAGGTGGCAAATTCACTAACTCTCAAGATGAGAGAGGAGAAACATTCATTACAGATGTGGTAGAGGGGATTCATTCACATAAAGAAGTTGGACTAAATGACCTCTAAGTCCTTTGCAGTCTTAAAATTTCAAGACTGTGATTCGACTCTTAATGCCAAAGTACAGAAGAGTCCAGCTTCTGGCTTAAGTGACACACATAGAAAGCACTGTACTGATGCCCTCTTGTGAATTCTGAAGTGCCATTATCAAGTAGACATCTCAAGTTATTGTGAGGACACAATGTTGTTTCCTAAATTTATGCACTTCCCATATTGGCTGCCTGTTGAAATAATTGGTGTGCTCTTTGTTATACCAATTATGACACCATTTATTTTTATTTCTCTTAATTTCCTTTCAGATTTTGAGGCTGAGAGTTTTCAAAGGGAGTGCTATGGATATAGGCTTTTTATTTCAAACTATTTTACAAATCAAAATGGTTTGTAGCCTCCTCTCTTCCCTCATATTCTCTCCAGTAGAGGTTTATTGTATAGCACTCTCCTCAAACTGATTTTGAGAAGGTTACCAGTGATCTCAATCTTTCCAAGTGCAGTGGTGGTGACTTTTGTTTTAACCTCACAGCAGCATTTGACAAAGGTGACCACTCTCTACTTTTTTTAAATTTTTTTTTTCAACGTTTATTTATTTTTGGGACAGAGAGAGACAGAGCATGAACGGGGAAGGGGCAGAGAGAGAGGGAGACACAGAATCGGAAACAGGCTCCAGGCTCTGAGCCATCAGCCCAGAGCCTGACGCGGGGCTCGAACTCCCGGACCGCGAGATCGTGACCTGGCTGAAGTCGGACGCTTAACCGACTGCGCCACCCAGGCGCCCCTATCCACTCTCTACTTTTTGAAATGTTCTTTTCTTTTGGCTTCCTTGCCATGATACTCACCTGAAGCTTCTTTCACCTCATTGGCTTCTACTTTTCAGTTTCTTCAATCTTTGTTTGATCTCCAAATGTTGGAATGCCACCGGACTTGGCCTTTTCTTCTCTTTCTTTAGTCTGTTTTTACACTAGGCCAATAATTTTAAATATTATCTGTATGTCAATGACCCTCAAGCTTCTATTGCTACCAGTGACCCTTCCATTGGCCTCCATGTTTCTGTATTTAGCTGCCTACTCAACATTTGTCTTTGGATTCTCAATACTTATTCAAACTTAATTTGGCTCAGCTGAAATCTTGATTCCTACTCCTGCTCCAAAGTTCTAAAACCTCCTGCCTCAGTCTTTTCCATCTCAGAAAATGACACCAGTATCCATCAGGTTACAGATCCTTGGTTTCTTTTTGTTTTTCTCATCTCCCATATTCAGTCCAATAGGAAGTCTTATTGATATAACTCCATAATATGTCACCAAATCAACTGTTTATCCATCTTTCCTTCTACCACCTATACTTTTGCACTGGAATCTAGAATGGTCCTCCTTCTTTCACTCCTGCTTCTCTTAAATCCATTATCCACACAAGACCCTGAGCGAACTTTCAAATCACAGATGAAATTATGCAGCTCTTCTACTTATATATTTTCAATAGGTTCCCATAGCACTTTGATTAAAACTCAAATTTATGGGGCCTTTTGAGAGAGCCCTCTGTGTAACTCACTGACCTTATCCCCTATCACTCTTTCTCTCTTTAACCTCTCATTGTAGCTACACTTGCTTTCTTCCCATTTTTTGAACAGTCTAAATTTGCATCCTCCTTGAGGACTTTGTGTTTGTTATTCCTCTGACTGAAATATTTTGCTCCCAGACTTTTGCATGACTGGCTTCCTCTTATCATCCTGTTCCTAACTGTCATTGCCCCAGATGTCTTAATGACAATCCAGTCCTGCAGCCATAC